TGGATTTGGTAGGTGTCTTCCTTTTACTTTATATTTGTGAATATGGCTTGTCCTTCTTATCCCAACTGGGAAACATCATTCAGGTCTTAATAGTGATTTTAAGGCCTGCAGTGCTTGGGAATATTCCTGCTGACATTCTCTTGCCACATCTACAAAGTGCCATTTACCTAATAGCTTATATTACTATTAGGGTAATGGTTTCAATTCCTTTACTGTCAAGCAGATAAAGAGGAAATAATAAAGAAATGCTACCTTAACTCTGTCTTTAAAAATTCCAAGGCTGATGCTTGGTTGGAGTAGTCTGGAATTAAATAAACAAGTGGGTTTTCAGTAGATCTATACCCTTTACAGATATTGGTCAGGAGTTTTTTTAAAACTCAGCAATACTGTATTAAAGAATCTCTACAACTCCATCTTTAAATTCAAAGTATGAAGCTATTCCTAATGAAATGATCAGTGCAATGAACCCAATGTTTATGCACTCCCCAGGTTCATGTTGAAACCCTAATCCAAAATATGGTGGTATTAGGAGGGGAGCCTTGGAGAGGTGATGGAGTCACGAGGGTGGAGTACTCATGATGGGAGTAGACCTTCATAAGAAGAGGTGTGAGAGCTCTTGCTTCCCTGACCTCCCTCAACTGTGTGAGGACACAGAAAGATGTCCATCTGCATCAGGAAGAGAACTTCCATTAGAATCTGACAATCCTGGCGCCCTGAGCTTGAACTTCCCAAACCCCAAAATGTGAGAAATATTGTCTGTTGTTTAAGCTATACAATCTGTGGTATTTTGTTACTGCATCGCAGCAGGCTAAGATATCAATGAAGCAATGAAGGTATCAATTCAAAAGTGAACCAAAAAGCTATGAGAATAAACTTCTAACTTAAGTTGGAAAATCATTTATTGCTCAGTAAAGTGTGAGAGATCATAGTGAAAAGTGAGAGGGCTTAAAGGTTAGGAGCAGAAGTTCACAATTAGGAAGGCAAAATATTTATCCAAAGGTACTCAAGAAAGTAGGAATTCACTGAAAATGACAATGGCCTAAAATATACAGTACCATCTTACTTTCAATGTGGTTTGATAGTTCCTTTTTAAAGTCTGGTCTTCCACGACTGTCCATAAACCACATCGTTCCTTTAATGTAGTTGGCTGAGCTAGGGGTGTAAAAGGCAAAACAGAAATTCCACATCTGACTGCAGCCTAGGTCATGCTAAACCATGACACTGTGGCTCTGGAGGCTGTGACGGGTCTCAAGAGAGACCATTCTAGAGGTTTTGCGTGGGCACTACTAAGGCCCAAGAGAAAAAGCTCAGGGAAAAGATGAGCAGGACATACTTTCTGATCTCAACTAGGAGTGTGGTCCACTGGCCTCAATACAGCAGACACCTGGAGACTGAGGAAGAATCTAGAATAGCTCCCAGAGGGACAGTGGGAACATTCTAGATCCCTGTCTTCCCTACTTTGGGAAAAGCTCCTCCAAAAGAAGGTTTTTAATCACATTCAGCTTCTCAGAACTAGGTCACCATACAAAAACCCTTTGAAGCCTAGCTTGGCCAAACCCACTTCTACGGCTTGCTTTTTTTATTTTTATTTTTCTTTGAGACAGAATCTAGTTCTGTCTCCAGGCTGGAGTGCAGCCGCACTATTTCAGTTTACTGCAACCTTCAAGTGATTCTCGTGCCTCAGCCTCCCAAGTGGCTGGGACTACAGGCGCACATCACCATGCCCAGCTAATTTTTGCATTTTTAGTAGAGATGGGGTTTTTCCATGTTGGCCAGCTGGTCTTGAACTCATGGCCTCAAGCAATCCACCTGCCTCAGACTCCCAAAGTGCCAGGACTAAAGGCACAAGCCACTGCGCCCGGCTACCCACTTGATTTTTAATCCTATGAAGTGTGTTTCCTAGTATGCTTTAAACTACTAATTGGTCACTAGATTTACATAGAAATAATATGTTCATTAAACAGGATATTTTCTTTCTGGAGGAAAAACTAATTTTTACTTTTTGTTTTATAAATAAAAACAGTACATGTACATTGGGGAAAAACTGAGACTATAACAGATGGCAAAAAAAAAAAAAAATCACCTGTTATCCCACTAGCTAGAGAGATTCTAGATTCTTTCTTCCTTTTCTTCTTCTTCTTCTTCTCTTGAGACAGAGTACCACTCTGTCACCCAGGCTATAGTGCAGTGGCGTGACCATGGCTCACTGAAGCCTTGACTTCCCAGGTTCAAGTGATCCTCCAGCCTCAGCTTCCTGAGTAGCTGGGACTACAGGTGCATGCCATTATGTCCTGCTAATTTCTGTATTTTTTTTTTTTTGTAGACACTGGATTTTGCCATGTTGCCCAGGCTGGTCTTAAACTCCTGGACTCAGGTGATCATCTCACCTCAGCCTCCCAAAGTGCTGGGATTACAAGCTTGAGCCACTGCACCCAGCCAAGATACCACTTTCTTATGTATTTATTTCAGAATATATTTCAATCTTTATTAGATTTTTAAATAGAATTTAGCATATTGCTTTATACCTCTTTAATCCATTTAACAATATAACCTTAAATGCATCATTAAATTTTCTCCCATAATATTATTCTTAATGGCTGTAAGATAAATTTTTGTATTGAGGTAGCATAAATTAAAAAATCCTCTATTGTTGGAAAAATACTGTTTCTGATTTTTCTTTGCTATAAATAAGCTGTTATGAATATCCTAGTAGTTAATGATTTGCAATTGCTCTTCATTACCTCCTTAGGATAAATTCCTAATGGTGGATTGCTAGATTTAAGCATTTCTAAATTTTTTGACACTTTTTATTGCAAAGTATATACTCTAAAAAGAACTTAACAATTTATACATGCACTAACAGAGCTCTCCCTATCTCTTCATTTCTGTTAAAAAAAATTTACTTGTTACTCAATGAATTCTAGAAATTGTTGTAGGTATATGCCTACAAAGATAAATTAAGCAAGGAATTTACAGCCCATTTATTCATCAATCCAGGGGGAGAGAAATTGGGGCTGATGGATCTTAACTCATAAATACCGAACCTGCAGAATGGATTACTGGATGCTGTTCATGCCCATTTTGAAGACAAGCAGCCCTTGAAAGCCCCAGCTCTCTTTCCGTAAGTCTAGCCAAGCACCTCAATTAAACATGAAAAATAATCTTAGATGCATGTTCCAGTTGGCTCCTGTCTGAGCCAAAGGAATTAAGAAAGAGAAAAGCAAAATATTGCAATACTCTTTATGCCTCCTCTTAGTTAGCAATTAATTGAGTATTCTCAATACTGTTATTTTTCAAAGATGCTGTGGACAAAAAAGAAAAAGCTCTCCAAATGCCCATTGTCACTAATTTCCCACGTTGATCCTAAGTCAGGATGCTCTTGTGTCACAGGCATCCCCAACAGAAGGGCAGACAGGACGTGATGTCAGGACTGCTTTGGTACCACTTCTTAACTCCCCATGGGCCTCGCCCTTCAGTTACTTTAAATGGAACTCAAAGCAGTTACTGTGGGTCTCCACAGATCCCCCAAAATAAAAGGACAGGCCTTGTGGCAGTGCCTCTGTGACAAGGACTCAATCTACATCTGGTATTTTCTTCCCATTGCTCACACAGGTAGAAGTAGGGACCTGCCCCTCACTGGCTCATCTCTTAATGACTCATTTACTCCTGAGACCCATTTGCAGAGGGCATCTTCTTTTAGTCTCAGGTCTATGCCTCTCTGCGTCACATATGGCGTACTTAATATAGAAACTAAAATATCCAGCTGGGCACCATGGCCCATGCCTGTAATTCTAACACTTTAGGAGGCTGGGGTGGCAGGATAACTTGAGACCTGAATTTGAGACGAGCCTGGGCAACATAGCAAGACCCTGTCTCTACAAAAAAAAAGTTTAAAAGTTAGCCCAACGTGGTGGCATATGTCATTGGTTCCAGCTACTTGGGAGGCTGAGGAGGATGAATCACTGGAGCCCAGAAGTTTGAGGCTGCAGTGAACTGTGATCACAACACTGTACTCCAGCCTGGGGAATGGAGCAAGTCCCTGTCTCTAAAAAAATAAAATAAAATATCTTTGCAAACTCCATAGGTAGCACTTCTTGCCCTGCTACAAGTGACTGCTTTTATTTTCTTAATACATGCCAGGCATAAACAAATTTTGAATTATATTCTTTACTAATTTGACAAAGCCTTAAGACACTCCTTATCAAATAGCATAGGTTTTTCTTACACTGATATAAAAATTTACTGATTTTTTTAAATTGCAGATTTAGGAGAAATGTGCAGGTTTGTCACCTGGGTATACTGCATGATGCTGAGGTTTGGGGGTATGATTAATCCCATCACCCAGGTAATGAGCACAGTGCCCAAAAGTTAGTTTTTCCACCCTTGCTCCCCTCCCCGCTTTTGTATTCCCCAGTGTCTACTGCTTCCATTTTATGTCCATGTGCACCCAGTGCTTAGCTCCTGCTTATAAATAAAAACAAGCAGCATTTGGTTTTCTGTTTTTGCATTAATTCACTTGGGATAATGGCTTCCAGTTGCATCCATGTTGCTGCTAAGGACGTGATTTTTTTTATGGCTACACAGAATTCCATGGTGTGTATGTCCCACATTTTTAAAATTCAGTCCACCACTGATGGACACCTAGGTTGAGTCCATGTCTTTGCTACCGTAAATGCTGCAATGACAAACATTCTACCAAAAAAACACCTGAACTCATGTGATTTATTTTTCTTTGGGTATATACCCAGTAATCGGATTGCTGGGTTGAACAGCAAGTCTATGTTCATTTCCTTGAGAAATCTCCAAACTGCTTTACAAAGGAGCTGAACTAATTTACAAACCAAAAGCATATGATGAATGTTCCCCTGTCTCCACAACCTTGTCAACAAAAATATACCAACATTTATTATACATTTTCTGATTATAAAGATATAACAATAATTTATATTTTTAGAAATTAGAGGATGCTTCAAAACATGTAGTGAAAAGAAAGCACATACCTGATAAAAGTTAGGCCAGAAAGTACTAATGGCCAGTTCTGCCCTGTTCCATGTACGTGTCGGGTCTCCCGATATATTCCAGATAGGATTCCCCAGTGGCCCGTTATTGACCTTCACGTAGACATTGAGTAACCCTGGAGGAGAATTACTCTTGCTGGACACAAAATAGTGAAAATCGATGCAGTGGGTGTCATTTTCTTTAAGCTGGGGTAAGAGCAGGTGGGCTCTCTGCCCCTCAGGTCTCCCAGAGGCATTCACCAGCATGAAAGAACCTGCAAAAACAAAATCAGAGAGAGTCACATCCTGAAATACTACTTTCCAGTTATCTCTGAAAACCCACCATCATTTACATGGATTGGCAATGCAATTCCATGTCTTACTTAAGCGTAAACTGCCACTTCCTTCCTTCCTATTTCATATATTACCTCCTCTTCCTCCTACCACCCACATGTGTTCTCAAGAGTACACATATTAATGAAAAATTCCCTGGCTGTTACTATAATTTGACTTCTAAATAACAGAAATATAGTGTAATGTTTGTAGACTTGCCCTAATCAATCTAGCAGTCAGGAGTCACAGGTGATTATTTACATTAAAAATTAAAATTCCATATTTAAAATGCATGTCCTTGTTCACACCAGCCATGTTTCAAGTGCTCAAAAGCCGCATGTGAGAAGTCGCTACCACACTGGGCAGCACAGATAGAGAGCATCTCCATCCACCAGAAAGTTCTACTGAACAGCACTGTTCTATCATGGTAGCATTACTCAGTAATCACTCTGTATAACCTAGAGAAAGATAACAGATTAGGTGGGCGGTGAATCTTAGGGTCATGATATTGACCCCATCATGCTCCCGGCTGTCAATGTAATAGGATCCTCTTGTACTTCAGCAACAGTACCCCACCCCCATTGCTGGAACAACTGAGGTCCCCCTGACAGTGAAGGTGTTCTCACAAAAGGTGATGACTTATGCAATCACTGCCCCAACTGGAGGAGAATCATTCTCAGAAGCCTCATGAGCTCTTTGGATCTTGACCCCAATGACCCTAACCTACCCATGAGTGTTGAGGAGCTTCCAGATGGCCCTAACCTACCCGTGAGTGTTGGGGAACTTCAAGCTTTCCAGATACCTGAGCACTTGAGCCTTCCCCATATGAATTTTATATTTCACATGGTAAAAAATAAAAGCAAAATGTTCTAAAATAAAGGAAAAATAGGTTATCATAGGTCCGTTTTAGCACAGAGAAAAAAATGTATTGAAATTCTAAGGAGAAAGTACATCTGAACTTGGAGTATAAAAATGAAAAAATAAAAATACTATACAGATGAGATAGCCTCATTGTGAATCATACTGTTCAAGGTGCGCATATATATATGTTAATAGGTGTTTTACTGTCTACCCACACCTATCCATAAACACACATACACAGTACTAGAAAATGCATGGAATTTCTGTCGTTTACATGCCGTGATATCCTCAACAGGAAGACCACATTTTTATAGTAATTCCCAAAGAATTACTTGGAATTACTACATAATTCCCAAAGAATTATTGGGAAAGTATTATGATAGCTACCTTTACAGCTATGAGGTGAGCCAAGTTTAACGCCATTTACAATAAACAGGAACAGGGTCACAGAGATATCAGAAGCAGCTTATGTAGATTTTAGGATGAGTTAGTGGCAAACCAGAACTTTGAGCCTCTGAGTTTCCAGCCCATTATTCACCCTGCCACACTCCAATAACCTCATGTTTCTTCATGTCCTTTTTGAACACATATGAAAAAAAAAAAAAAAACCTTTCATAGCAGTGAAGGAAAATTATAGTAGGTATTTTAAGATAGAACAATTTTTAAAGCAATGAATGTTATACACCAAGAAATACAAAAGCCAAGCCACATGGGAATCTATCTATGAAACATAACTTACCTATGAAATATATTTCCACATTAAGGAAAAACTTTAACTGTGATTTAAGAAAGACGGGCAGAGAAAGAACAAGTGACAAGAGACTATCATTGAAATAATTCAGGTTAGTTATTGCTTGTTTACAAACGTAAAAAAAAAAAATCTTCAAAACATGCAGGGTTGATGAACCCCATCACAAACCCAGAGTAGGACATTGGTGTATATGAGATACAGATTGTGTTTTTCTGTTCTTAGTAATATAAAAGCTGATTTATGCCAGATTCTATCACTGGGGGCTCTATTACCTACAACACAGAGGTACATATATTACCACATATATTCTTACTGATGGGGCTGAGGCATGACATGTTCTTGAGGTCACCTCTGAATGAACAGAACCTTTAGTATGGCCATATTGCCAAGAATATTGTTTCCTTCATTGTTCCCATCACTTAAGCTTGGGCAACCATGGGTGGAAAGCATGGCAATATACACAGGATGGCAAAATATGTGTTGCCCACATCATGTGAAGCACTTAGAGGAGTCTCCTTTCACACATTTACATAAATTAGATACCTTTCTACCATTAGTGTTCATGAAATCATCCAGTTTTCCAAAACTGCTATTTTCCTAGCTACACAGCCTGCCCTCCAATGCTGAATCCACTATGCTCCATTCCAGCATGAAATGCTCTTACACTCTTGTGTCTGAAGTACACAAGAATTTTTATGTTGATGTCCAGGTGAAATTCAGGTATAATCTAAGTTACTCAAGTGATCCTAGCTTTTACAGTCCTTTCTCCTCCTTTTTCCCTGTATGATTTCGTGAAATTCACGAGAGGCTTCTCAAGTGCAGCGGCAGGGCTTTGATGGAAATATGTAGCCTTTATGCACAGTCCTGCTCCGGCAGGGGTTCAGGTCCTCAGGAGGCAATTCTGTCTGGAATGATCCCATGGTCACTAGCACATCTACTGTCTCCCAAATGATCTGGAAATCAATGGAGCAGCACTCAGATTTTAACACTCATGATCTTTTAGAGGAAAAGTCTCTGCCAAGCACCTTCCCCTGTGGTACACTCCTCTGCAAGATTCCCTTTTTCCTTCCTCCACAGTCTTCCAATGGGTGTATCTATGCAGCCTCTTAATTAACCATGAATGCATACAAGGCAAGTGTGACAAAGCATGACACAAAGCACAAGCCCAGCAAATGCTCCTGACTTTCATTATGACGACTTTAGCTCCCCAAACCTCCTAAATGCATGGCTTTTTAAAATTATGTAGGTTTTTCTTTTGTTTTGTTTTGTTTTTTGAGACAGGGTTTCCAGACTGGAGTGCAGTAGCAGGATCACAGCTTATGGCAGCCTTGACCTCCTGTGCTCAAGTGATCCATCCTCCCATCTCAGCCTCCCGAGTACCTGGAATCTTAGGTGTGCATCACCACACCTGGCTAATTTTTTTTTATTTTTTTTATTTTGTAGAAGGGGATCTTACTATGTTGCCCAGGCTGGTCTCTTACTCCTCGATTAATGCAATCTTCCTGCCTCAGCCTCCCAAAGGTTAAGATTACAGGTGTGAGCCACTGTGCCCAGCTGGAATTCTTTGCCAATTATCTCTATTTCCCCCTGTTCACCTCACAACACTCCTGGTCCTACTGTCATTCACTTAAGTGGCAACTTTTAAGTTTCCTTTATTTATGAGAGAAGAATACTAGTACACTGAGATAACACAAAACCTTCAACTCAATTAATCTTGCCCTTACATTTTTGGGAAAAGGATATCCTTATTTCAGTGCGTGACCATCCAGACTTAACTCACAGCTTTAAAGTACAAAAGGTGATGTTTCTGCCCACACTCGTGTTTCCGGACAGTGCTGCACTATTATGTGTCAATGAGTTTACAGAAGCAAATGTGAAAGTCTAACAACCTGCAGTAAACTCACAGTTGGCAGGAGAGGGAAGTGATGCTTCTTAGTGATACTTCTTAGTTTGCTTTTTATCACCTGTGTGCTGTGAGGCATAAAGTCAACTCACCAACCAATGTTTAGAGAATTACAGAATTCAAAGCATTTATATGCAATTTTAGACTATTAAGTCTGTTTTTTAAAATATTCCTATATGGCTGAATGTTTAATTTTCACCTTCTACTTCAATGTTTTGACTGCAAGGAAATGCATTTTCAAGAGTAATTGGGTCTCCCTCTGTAGATACTTCCTTACCTCAACTCTTTCCTCCTACAAAAAGCATTCCAACTGGGTGAACTTTAAAAGAATCATAATTCAAATTAGCATAGAAATTCTGTTTGTGTTCAGATAACAAAGCACCCTTAAGTCACTAGTATGTAAGTAGAAAGTATATACCATTGCAGGCACATGAAATGAGCTCTGCATGATGGAGTCAGCTTTAAAAGGGACAGCCTTTGGATGCAGACTTCGAGGCTTCTTAGTAATAATTATTTTGGTTTCCCCAAAAAGGAAAACTCTCTTATAAGAACACGCAATGTTCACATTCTCAAACCTCTGGGTGAATTAAATTTTTCTAATCATATCCATTGGCAAATGCTTTTGATGAGACTATCTTCCATCATTGTTTGTGATTGTTTGTGACAGCAGTAATAAACACACAGAATTAGTTACTCCTTTCTAACCCATCATTAAAATTTGCATTGGTGTGGTTAGTGCTGTAGATTTGTCAAAGCTGAGAAAACTGCATGAATTCTCTTCCAAATGTATTTGAGAAACTTTGCAAGCAACAACAAAAAAGAATATTTTCCATTATCTAGTAGGAAGAAAGAATTACATGTGTTCACTACTTTCGCTGACAGAGAAGCAGCATTTTATGAACTTTAAAGCTATTATAAATTATAATGAAGCCAGGCGCAGTGGCTCATGCCTGTAATCTCAGCCCTTTGGGAGGCCAAGGTGGGTGAATCACAAGGTCAGGAGATTGACACCATCCTGCCCAACATGGTGAAACCCTGTCTCTACAAAAAATATAAAAATTAGCGGGACGTGGTGGTGTGCACCTGTAGTGCCAGCTAACTGGGAGGCTAAGGCAGGAGAATCAAGTGAACCCAGGAGGCAGTCGTTGCAGTGAGCTGAGATCATGCCACTGTACTTCAGCCTGGCAACAGAGCTAGACTCCATCTCAAAAAAAAAAAAAAACCTATCATGAATTATAAAATTCACTTTTTAAACTTCTTAATTTTAGCAAAAGCATAAAGGTTATTGGTCTTTGCCTTCCTTTGGCGGTTTTGCCTTTATTTTTTTCTTGTATGACCATGCCTTCAAATTTGTGGATTTAGGAAATGAGAGGCAAAGAAAATGTGAACAAGTTCCGACACTGCAGGCATATCTCCTGACTCTAGTT